GAGAGAGAGAGAGAGAGAGAGAGAGAGAGAGAAGTCCCGACTGTTTTACGACAAGCCCAGATCCCACCCCCACCCCCCAACTGTTGTAGCCTGACCAGTGTTGTGTGTGTGTATCATAGTGTGTATGAAGTAGATCACGGCAATATACACGACCAGTGGAAAGTTCCCCACCTGTGGGCAGAGCAGGCGACCACCAGGAGTCATTCGACATGACGACGTCTGCTACCAAAGTGTGGAGAAATAGAACAAGTTGTGACGATGAATGGCAGACATTTTCTTTGTTTCAAAAGTAGAGTCTTTGTGTCTTCCCTAATTGTTTCCAGCTTGTTGTTAACTTCTCTTTACAAACTTCCAAGGTATTTTTGTTTAGAAGTAGAAATGCAACCAAGAAAACTTCAACAGTCTCTGTACACTGTGCGTATTTGTGGAGTTTTTATTGAGTTGTCTGGCAAACAACTGTTTTGTGTATTTGTTTTGAACTAGCTGTGCTCCCTTTGGATGACAGGAATGATCGGTGCATTAACATTAACTGAAAGTCATTAGCCTACTATATTTACACTCTACTGGAATGGAGCAATAAATCTTGAGAGATGAAAAAAATTTGAAGGTCTAGATCTATACTCTCAAAACAAAATGCGCCTCGCGAAATATCACTTCTGGCACTTCCGCTGTGAAGGACAGCTATGCAGATTTGTTTCGTTTCTCAGTGGAACGACCACAAAGGCCAAAGAAGGACGGGAACTTTTTGTCGAATATATTTGTCTAAATTCAGGAAATGAATAAATGAAAAATCGGGCTCCGTCATGGGGACCTATCTATCTTTTGGCAGGTACTTGCCAACTTTCAACTCTGTAGCTGATGTAGTATTAGGGGAAAAGTGACTCATGTGTTTCCAAGTTGCCAAATATAGAATAGACTCGTTAGAATTTGTTATTTCTTTGGGCGTTTATTGTGATTGTTTGGAAGGACGAGACAACTACAGGATGATAAAATGTAGTCACACGATTGCTCTGGTGGGGTTGGATCCTTCTGTCCTGTCAAATATCTGCTATCCTTATCTCTCCTCCTTCTTTCCTTTCAAATATCTGCTGTCCTTATTTCTCCTCCTTCTTAGCTGATTATATTACTATTAATTAACACCTTCAATCTTTGGCACTACTATGACCTAATTGTGTTGCAAGTGCCGTAAAACTCTGACTGACACTGAACCCTAAAGAGAATGATTTCCCCACCCGTCCAGGCATCGACCCTGACCTCCCCCAAGCGGTGTGCGGCAGAGATGAGCAGTACATGAGCTCGCGTGAGTGGCTCGACATCTACGGCTTGAACTCCCGGAAGCTGGGTCTGTACGACGTGCTGTCGGGTGTGGCCTTCAAACATCAGGACGGAGTGGTGGACGTCATGCACCGCCCGGCCACCGACACACAGACAGACGCCGTGAGTACAGACAGACACACACAGAGACAGACAGACGCTGTGAGTACAGACACACAGACGCCGTGAGTACAGACAGACAGACAGACAGACGCCGTGAGTACAGACAGACAGACAGACGCCGTGAGTACAGACAGACAGACAGACGCCGTGAGTACAGACAGACACACACACAGACAGACGGACGCAGTGAGTACAGACACACAGACAGACGTCGTGAGTACAGACAGACAGACAGACAGACAGACAGACGCTGTGAGTACAGACACACAGACAGACGCCGTGAGTACAGACAGACACACACACAGACAGACAGACGCTGTGAGTACAGATAGACAGACAGACAGACGACGTGAGTACAGACAGACAGACGCCGTGAGTACAGACAGACAGACAGACGCCGTGAGTACAGACAGACAGACAGACGCCGTGAGTACAGACAGACACACACACAGACAGACGGACGCAGTGAGTACAGACACACAGACAGACGTCGTGAGTACAGACAGACAGACAGACAGACAGACAGACGCTGTGAGTACAGACACACAGACAGACGCCGTGAGTACAGACAGACACACACACAGACAGACAGACGCTGTGAGTACAGATAGACAGACAGACAGACGACGTGAGTACAGACAGACAGACGCCGTGAGTACAGACAGACAGACAGACGCCGTG